GTGTTCTGAACGAAACTGTTTTCTGGGTGCGGTGAATTGTGTACCAAACGTAAAACCCTTCGACTTACACCATCTTTTCTCGTAGATCATGCGACGGTCTTACTCGCTTTACTCCACCGTCCTTCGGATGAGGTAGACGACTACGTGGTGCACACTGCGGGCCGAAGGGACGGACACGACGGTGGCAGGTCCACCGCCATTTCTACATTTTTTTGTCATACCAAATGCGAATAAAACCGAACGATATAGACAATACCCCTTCCTCGCTATCGTACACAATCCGACTCCCTTATGCGAAGACGATGAGAAACATGAAATTTCGTAGGGCTCACCTTAGACCCTTCTGAACCTTTTAGAGGAATAATTGGAGAACAGCCCCCCCCCCCACATACACGCATATATCATCCACCTTACTGAACACCTTAATTCGATCGGTTTGGTGCATCATTTGAACCTCAGCGCGGGTTACCGACTGGCCAATCGGAACGCCTGCGGAAAAAGGGTGACGGGATGGGGCCTGTCGCTTTCTCGCTCTTGGAACTGTGTTGACTTCTTGTCGTGTTCGATGGGAAAGGCGTAGACAGATGGCAGTGTTACCAACGTATGATTATTACAGTGGTACATTACATGACACTTCTGCCTTGACTCTGACTGGTGGAATGTCGGGCGAGACTCAAAACCCATTACGAACCTTCCACGTGGCTCTTCCCAGTGAGAATTTTTTTTCTGGCGACATCGTTTCGACATCGTTTTTTACGTCGTTTCGACTTAAAAGTGGTCCTGAAATGGACGGCTTTTCGACAGTTGATGTCGTTTCGATGCCGTTTCGACGTTTCACTGTCGAAAAGCCGTCGATTTCAGGACCACTTTTAAGTCGAAACGTCGTAAAACACGATGTCGAAACGATGTCGTCGGATAAATTTCTCACTGGGTTGTGGGTTAGGTCCACATTTTTGGTTTTTCACGATTTTGTAGGAATAATGATCGTCTCTCAGAGGCATGTTTTAACTCATTATTTTTGCTGGAGGCCAATTTCTCGGAGGTAAATACTAGAGTATTGGTCTACAGCGCTGAGCGGAAAAAGAAGAACAAAAACTGAAGTTGGAGAGGCGCTCGCCCCCTCCTCTACTGGGCGAAGTGG